TTAAGCACTAATATCTTTTTGTCTTATCTAGCCCATTAACAAATGTTTAAAACTAAAAACTTTAGCCTACTCTCTTTAGTTCTCATACAACTCCTTATAGATATATACTAGGAATTAACGCATATTTCTACTAAACTTGTAAGTGTTTTTCAAGGGTAAATTAACATAATAAACGAAAAGAAAATCTTTTTCTATCTTCATTGCCTCCAATCTGACCTTCATGAACAATGTTCATAAAGAGTCCAGGACATATGAATACTCATGTTTATGGCACAGAATTTATAGTAGCTATATTTCAGAGTCAGATTATCATTTTCCACTTTTGTGATACAACTAATTTTTATCAATAATTAAAAACTCATCAAGAGGTTTATCAGTGGATCAAGAAAAAGATACTTAGCCTTAAAAGAATTTTATAACTTTATGAGACATTAGTGATCAGTTAAACTGTGACAGTTACTAAAATGAGAAGGAGACACGAAAAATTAAATAACTTATGTAGAAATCATGTACTTCAAGCCAGAGTGTTACTGATCAGGAACTAGAGAAAGCTCATTTTGTGTATTGCTCAATATTTAATAGTTTGAGGTACAAACAAGTACCCAAGCATACTGCAGTATACTGGACTGAAAAAGTCCTTTTGTAATAGGAGACTGTGACAGTGCCTTGACCACAAAATCTGTGCAGTAAAAACAACTGCTTCTTACTCCTCCCTATGACTAAATGGTCTCTCTCGGTTACTAAACTGCAGCTGGATCTAGAAACCAACCAGAGGACAGTATCAGAATGAATGGAAAGGTTGAGTATTCAAATAAAACTATACAAACAGGCAGTTGGCTGGATTTGGTGCATGAATTACTCTGTATTTGCTGATCTAAAATTGATAATAATATAAGAAAGTTTGAAAGAAAATTTAAATTTTAGTAACATACAGCATGTCATATAGCAAATCAGTCCTTGTAGGAACCTGGTTGATTTTTAGACAGACTTGTGTTTTCATTCTTCAAAGGTTTTCCTGTTTGCTTTTTCATCTGTATTACATAAACATAATAAAGATGCCTAAATCCATTAAAAATAGAAAATTTACCATGTTTTATAGAAAATTTTGAGTGCTAAGCTGTAAAAAATTAGCTGTTCAATTCCTACTAAATTTGTAATAGTTTTTATTATCTGTACATAGATTTTATTAAAGATTTAAAAAATATCAAGTTGAATTCTTATAACCATTGATACCACTAGAATTGACCCATTAACTTGAGTAACTGTTTTGGTTCATCGTTTGAAATGTTCTCTTTATTTAGATATTTTTACTACATGCTAATCTTTAGTTATGATTATAACTTAGGTTAACTGTAAAATTGTTATGTAACTTTGTAATTTAGTATGCAATTTGAGTATCAATTATGATTCACTCAATTAGTACTTCTAAATAATCCTTTGCCTTTTCTAAAATATTCAGACCAGATGCATAAGGCTACATGAAACTTACTGACATCTCCATTGTTTTGACACATAAAAATTAGAAAATGCCCTTTAAAGGCATTAAATGAAATGTTTTCTCAGCGTAATTTTAATACAATTATACAATTAATATAATTATAAGTTTAATCTAGTCAATTTTAATTTAATTCTGAGTACAGTTTTTATGCTCAACAGGACTAGATAACTGATTAAAAACTTATTGACTGCAGATACAAAGAAAAAGCCACATGCCTACCATAGTTTGTGATTCCACTGCAGTGAACACTGTGGATTACTTTGTAAATTCTGTGAAGATTTTTCGTTCTTGTTCCTGAGTCTTTTAAAAGTTTTAAAAGACTGAAGGAAACGATCAATGTAGGAAAAAAAGTTTTCATTTCAAACTTTCGGTGAATTTAGTAAGGGCATAATGTCAAAGGAAAGAATTTTTAAGATAAAGGATATTCAGAGAAAGAAACTAACTCAACAATCAACTTCTTCCTTCAAAGATTTTAAAAATTTTCACAAGGAGAATAAACTGGAATTTAAAGCCAGCTGGAACCAAGGTATATAGGGCTTTTGAGGTGTCTAAAGTTGAAGATATTAAGTTGACTCTAGTTTTTTTTTTTTTTTTTTTTTTTTTTTTTTTTTTTTTTTAAGTTGGAAACAGGAAAGGAAAAATTTTGTCCTGGAAATGTGTTCTGTGATGCAAACAGAAATCCATCTTTCAGAAGAAGTAGAGATGAGTTGCCTTGATTTAGTTTTTTTGGAAACAGACAAGAAGAATGTGAATTTGCTAAAAAAGATCTTGCTTCTAAGTATTATTTTATAAGGTCTGAGATGTTCTTTTCTTTATGAAAATTATCTAGCCTCAAGATTTTCATAAAAATTAACTGGAATCACTGAAATAAATTTTTGGAAAGAAGGATCTGGAGAAATTTAATTTTTAAAAGTTCTATAAAATGATTTTAGTAACTGGTACTTTCATTTTGATATTTTATTTACTCTTCAAAAATTGCTTTCCTGTTTGAGAACACAGAAACATTCAAGTATTAAAAGTGTTCCACAATATGTAGTATTAGTAAAACTCCATAATCCTCATAGTGGAAAGAATAGGTTTTCTGCAAATAGGTTCATTAAATCAGTTTCAATCTTCTGTGAGTTAGTGACAGGAGTAGAATAAAATTTTAGAATTCATATGGCAAACTTGAGAGGACACAGCTGCCAAACACTAAGTAAACAGCAAATAAGCAAATGGCTTCTAGGTATTATTTAATAGTGTGGTGAAGATAACAATCATAGCATACATTTATATAGTACACAGCACATATAGAACTTACTGTAGCTCTTCTATTTATGTTAACTCTGTAAGGTTGGTATTGATTTTCCTTCACAAATAACAGGAAACAAGTACACAGAAGTGAAAAATTGGTTCAAATGTAACCTAATAGTGTTATGATTTTGTTGTAATTGCAGTTACTTAATAAGATCTTTACAGGTGATAACTAGCTTATGTGACTGACACAAATGAATATTAGTCCTTTAATATGATTTACAAAATCATGCAAATTATATGGCAGAACTTTTAATTCTCTTCAACAGTTAATTCACCTCACAGAAGATCTAGGATAACAAAAAATCATTTTTCACTTACATGAAATATTTCTTATGATATAATGCCCTTTGATGAGGAAGTAATATAATTTTAAAATTTATCCAAGTCGATAAAAGGAATATTAGCCAAAAATAATCTTAAGAATGATTTTGCTATATTACATAATTTATCCTGTCCAGATTTAGAACTGGAATAAGGGCTAGCTGTATACCGCTAAAAGATATTAAATATGTATAAACAACCTTAAAGTCCATCAGCAGGTAAATGGATAAAGAATATACTATGTATATACAACAAAATGCCATTCAGTGTTAAAGAGGGTAAATTCTACATATGTGAAAATATGGATGACCCTTAAGGGTATTATATTAAAGGAAATAAGCCAGCCAGAGAATGATGCCTACTGCACCATTCCATTTGTATGAGAGAACTAAGACCCTCAAATCCACATGAAGAGTGAAGGTGGCTCCAGGAGCCAGAGGAAGGGGAAACAGTCAATCAATGATCTAAAGTGCCACGTTTCAGCTTCAAAGCAAGACGAGTAAGTTCTAAAGATCTGTTCTACAGCAAAACAGTTACCATCAACGATAATGTGTTACAGACAAGTAAGTGTCCTTACTACAAAACAGAATAAAGTAACTATTAAAAAAGGAAAGAGATAAAAGGATATACCCTTTAAAGAAGTCCTGAATTTATTTCAAATCTATGTTCTTTCATTATTGAAAAGAAACACAAGGAGAGTATCTATATTTTATTCACTGCATTACTATTTTGAGCCCGCTTCAAAACAAATCCTGTATCTTAACTGAAAAGCCAGTTGACTCACTATACCTAATGTTAAGAATTTGGATACATACTTTGAATAACACTCTCAGATAAGATGAGCAAAGACATAACTCCATGCAAAATGCTTCTGGGAACAGTTCAATGATCTGGAAGAACTTCATAGAATATTTTTTACTCTGGTGAAAAATTTTCCCCTGTTGAACCTAATGGTGTAGATGGAGAGCTAGGATTTTCTTTTCTTTGTATCATTCTAAAAAGGGACTCCCAAGTTGAGAATGGGAGTCAAGTGGTGTCAGGAACTTTTACTATACTTCTAGTGGGCCACTCAACTGCCACCTGCAGAATAGCAACTTCTACTCTCTGTCACTATGTTTATATAGTTTTCATCCTGTCCTCCTATATAATGTTTTATGTTATGTCAAATTATGTAACTCATGCCACAGGTTATATTTATAAAAATATGTAATAAGGTACATAAAATATATATACAAAGCATATAAATAAAACATACTAAACACATGAAAAGTACTATTATATATTTTATTATATGACATATGGTGGTGTAATAATCTTGCAAGTTGTATTCTTACATATTATTTAAGAAGACTAATGATGCATTTATAAAACAAGTGAAGTGAATGTATTATTTTCAGCTGCTGCTCAGGCTCACTTATTAATATTTATATTATAAAGCTACAATATATCCTAAATTTTGTTATGCATATATGAGTTATGTTCTTGAAATGAAATTGTGATAAGAAAGCCTTAATTTGCTAACCATAATGAAATCCATTAGAATCAGAGTGGGGTTAACACAGAAAGCTTATAAGAAATTAATAAACATGTAGCAAGAATACTTCTGAAAATCCAGAACTAATATTTTCATGAATGTAATATTAAACTGGTAATTCCTGAGAGTATACTAAGAAATTATTCATTGTTTCTTTTCTAGGGACAGATGAAATTTAGATTTATTATTGTAAAAATTAGAATATACACAACTATCTCAGTGAAATAATGTTAGATGATGATTCCTACAAGATAAAGGGCAGTTTAAACATTTTTAAAGTTCATGTTATTGTATGGAAGTTACTGCTTTGTGTTTATGGAAGCAGAAATTAAAACTTCAGGATCTACTTACCCTTTTCTGCTCCTTTACGTACTCAATCAGTTCATCTCTTGTTCTTCTCACAGCCTCCTCCACAGCCTTTTCACTTCGTTTTTGCTCTTCTACTATTGCTGCCTTAACTGTTTCCTATTTTGGGAAAAGGAAACAGACAGGTAAGCAGCAGGTGATATTTATGTCCACTTTACATAAATCAAGAATTCTCCTCAATGGCTAGAGCTTATTCTGTTCAAAGCCAATCTTTAAATGGGATACGAATTTCTAAACTCTTTTGGAATATGTAAAAGATTTCACTGAAATCTCTTTCTCAAACTGGATAAAAGGGAAAAGAAATGGAATAAGCCATTTACTGCAGGGAGTGTCAGACAGACTCCAATGGCTTCCCACCAACCTTCCATCCATGTTCACAAGGCTGATTCCTTCTTGTATTTCCTACTATTCACATAGTATTTCCAGCTTGTGTTTACTCTTCCAAGAATACTCTACTGCTCTAGTTGTTTATTCACATTTAATTTTGCCATCATACAATAATCAATTGTGGTCCGATAGGTAAGATTTACTGCTACTTGGTCCTCTTGCTAAGGAAAGATGTTGAGAAGGGCAGTGTGAATAAAAGGTAAAATTCCACCCACTTGCTAGTGTTTTAAGGGAGAGAGCACACAGGTACTCTCCATTTTTTGAGTTATAAATAAGGCGCCTAAGAGATTCAGAATGGTTGAAAAAGAGCTAAATTTCTGGAAAACAAATGCAGTGCTTCTCAGAGTAGCAATATTTTCTGCTAAAGAAGTGTTTCATGAATTGAAATGAATATTAAAAACAAAACTCTTTCACTTCAATTTATCTAGATTGTTATTATCTTTTCTCTGGTGTACAGCAAGACAATGCATTAGGAAGTATCTTTAAGTTTCTCAGAATATTTTTTATTTATTTTTTTCCTAAAGACAGATCTCACTATGTAGCCCAGGCAGACCTTGAATTCACAGTGGTCCCCAGTGCTGGGATTACTGACAAGTAGGTGCCACCATGCATACTTTTGTTTCTTGACAACTTTTTTCTTATGGTGTGTTTGTGGTTACTCAATTTTTGACATGTATTCATGTGCCAGAAAAGTTGACGTTTCTACTCTGAAATTATTTACTGTAGAAATTTGGGAAATATGAAAGGTATAAGCACAAACCATATACAAATAGATACTTGGATATGAAGAAGATATGACCTAAACTATACATGTTATTTTTTAAATCTAGCAATTTTCATTTGATAGAGTTTGAATTTTTAAAGGCATTTTATATTATTTTATGATTTATATCAACTATAAAGTTCTATAACAATTTATCAATCTTTATTCATTGCATTTTGGTTGTTTTAAATGAAGTAAAACAGTACTGAACATCCATATAGGTATCTTTGTGGCACATGCTGGGTATTTATTTGGGATTGATTCAATAGTGAAATCATGTTGGCCAAAAGAATATGAACTTTCTTACAGCTTTTGACATTCTGTACAAATTTCTTCCCATGAGGACCCTTCTGCAAAGGGCTAATTTACTAGCATCCCTGATTTATTTAGTTTAATCATCTTTAAAAATCCTTGAATATTGGGGTAGACCAGCATCTTATTTTGTATTGTTTAAAGATTATTATGTGATGTCAAACATTTTTCCCCATATAATACTGGAAACATAAGCTGCTGCTTGCCATTTACTCGATCATTCACTCGGCCCACTTTAGTTCTGATGTACTATCATTTTTGAGTTCCCCTTCCTACTATATAGAATACAGTGACCATGTTGAAAGGGTATATTACCCGCAAAATTTACTTTTATTTTCAATGACTAGTTCCATTGATAGAATAAGTCTATGAATTTGTTGCCATAATTACTTGAAGATATTATGGCTGAAAAAGTATAGTGATTTTAAAAAATGAAGATAAATAAGAGCATTTACAATGCAAGTATACTATTACAACTCATATTTACTTCACACTCACAAATCTGCAATTGGAAAATTTTCAGATTTAAAAATGATTAAAAAAGACATATATTACTAACCTTTCTAAAATAAAAAGCCACTAACAATTTTGTAGTGAAGAGTATGAATATCATACAATATGAGTAAATTAAAAGTATAAATAGCTTCAAATCAGTTCAGATCAGGTTTTGATAACAGCTGAATAAAAAAATTGTGGGTTTTAGGATCTTTGGAATTTTAGAACCTGGAATTTAGGCTATGGAATTTTAGAATATAAATACTGTGCACTTATATTACTTGAGTGTATAAATTAAATACAAGATACATTAAATAACAATCAAACTTTCTATTTCAAAGGTATACAACAGTAAGTTTGCCTACGTCTCTAACTGAAAGCAAAAGGAATAAATGTACTTTTTTGTTCTTCAACTGACATTTCTGAGGAAGGATGAGAATATATATGAACTTCTCAGCCCCCAATTTTTAGGATCTCTCATACTCATCTTTTGAGCTGACAAAATATAATTATAGAACTTGCTCTGTTTCTCACCTTCTGGGCGATAAATTAGGTAAGAAAGGATACTGTGAAAAATTACTGCTTAACATCTAATTTCTTTGAATTTGATATAGAAATAAGTGTAAGCATTTGATTTTCTAATCAGATCAAATTCAGAGTGCTGGGTCACAGGTTTAGCTCAGTGGTGTAAGTGCCCCTCCTTGGCAAACGTGAGGTTGTGAGTTTGATCCCAGTACAAAAAAAAAAATCTGAATGTTGAAATGATCAGATTTTGTATGCTTCTATATAAATGCTCATGGATACCTGCTTACATTTGTTGTTGATTCCATAAATAAAGTCCCTGAGTCATAATGAAGCTTAACAGTAAGGGGCTAGGGATTTAGCTCAGTGGCACAGTGCTTGTCTGGCAAATGTAAAGTCCTCAGTTCAATTCCTGGTATGCACATCTCACCCCACTCTCTAAAAAACCAGAAACAAAATGAAACAAAACAAAATAAAATACCAGTACATGTGTTGCCACCAAGAGAATATGCAAACGGGCAGCTCTAAAAGAGCAAATAAATTCTCTTGACTATTGTAGTGATGGCAATGCCACTGTAGTACCTTCTCTATGCTGGAGTTTCTTGATTCGGCCCTACTGCCATTTCTTCATGACAAAGAGTTCCCTGTGGTAAAGCAGTATAGCTGGTATCTACCCACCAGATGGCCTCCAGTGGACAAACCCAAACCTAAGGTGCACAGCTAGGGTGGAGAAAGAATTGCAAGTGCATATATACTAGATACTGCATTGGCTAAATATATCAGTTAGGCTTCTTGTCAAGTTTCAAATGCTTATGTAACCAGGTTGTAAATGCGACAAAAGTTCTATATATTAATTAAAAAAAGAATGAAATCAGTTTCTACAATGCTACTAAGTAGGTCATGTTGAAAGTCATTTAGGTCTGCCTGGTATGGTGGTACATGCCTGTAATCCCAGCATTCAGGAGTCTGAGGCAGGAAGATCACTGCAAGTTCAAGGCCAGTCTCAACTGTATATGAAATCTTATGTCAAAAATGCAAAAACAAAACAAAACTAAAAGCTCCTTTAGGGCTAAAAACATGAAATTTTGTGTATTTTTAAATTTCCCTTATTGTTTAAAAGTATAGTTTTGCTATAGTATCCATCATATTCACTATATGTTTCAGAAATCATGAGCCCAATAAAAGGTCTATGATTGTATATTCTTTATCAGTGCATTTTCCCCACGGATTATAAACCCATTTATGAAAAAAAACCTTAGTAATCAATTGCACTGATAAGAGGTTTAGCCTCATCATAATGTGGTTGTTCAAATGGATAATATCTATTTTGCTTCTATACAAAATGAATACATATTATCTAATTACAAGTTGCACAAGCTATGGAAATGCACTTAGAAAATGAGTGATACATTACACAGGCAAAGATCTGATATCACATACTGTAAAGAGTTCCACTTTGTAGTTAGCAGAAAGTGTTGTACTGGTTTCTCAAATTAACTTTAGAAAATATGTGTGAAAATGTTTCAGATACTGAAAGTGTTTTAGTCTTCTTTGCTAAATTTATAATTTACTTATAGAAACAAATATAAATATAAGAAGTTACAAAGTATACAACAGTTAATGAGTGTGGTGATATCAGAATGTTTCTTTCCTATGTCAGAGAAAGCCTTGGAAAAAGAGGACGGCTCTGGTCTGACATCTAACAGGTGGTTTAGAGTGATGTAATGAGAATGAATACTGAAGAGTCAACAGAGTAGGCGATCCTATTATCTACAAACAAAACCTATCTGGTATTTGGCAAAACGGTCTAAAGAGAAAACCCAAGTATGTGTTAGAGGTTTTTGTCTAGACATAAGGTTTCTTGTGAGAGAAGTAGAAAGAAAGGAAGCTAGAAAGCCAGGCTGGGTACTGAGAGCCTGAAAGTGTCAGGCTGATGCTAGTAACCCAGCCACCATGGGCATGGCTTCTATGCATGCACTTGTATAGTTTTCATATAGAGACAGTGCTCATATGCTTGGTTAATTCTTTATACAGTCATACTCACCTCACCCCAAATAGCCTATCAAAGATAAAAACTGAATCTTTAGCATATCTCCTTTCAAAATTTTCTAACTCTTAATTTAAACTACAGTCTAAGAAGGAAAAGCGTATATACATTTTCATTCTTTTCCTGTGTAGGAGATACATTATTTAGAAAGCACCATCCCACCCATGTTCACAGGCACTAACTCTGATCTAGGGTACAGATGTCAGAATTCTGTGTCTGTTACACTCATGTACAAATAGAACAACTCCACTAAGAGTGGAGAGAAACATTTCTCTATTATTCAAATTTTCTTTGCGAACTAATATTCAGTATTTTGGGTTAAGTGATTTGAGAGTAATGGACTCTTGCTGTGGTGGATATAGATTTTTAGCTATGATACTAGGAAAAATAGCAGCATTCTAGGATCCATAATAAATAACTTTCAACTTGTATAATTAGAAATGCAGAATTTTAGTAAGCAAGACTCCTTTCAGAGATATTAAATAAGCATACAGACTTAAAAAAAAAAAGAATGCTGGGCATAGTTGCAGACATGCCTGTAATCTAGGCACTCACGAGGTTGAAGCAGGAGGA